AAAAGTCTGGACTATTTTTGATAAGAAGAAAATCGCGCTGAAAGGTGCTTTTGCTCCAAATGAAGGAAAATTCCCTCACCTCCAATACATTTTCCTCATCCTCGAACTTTCCGTTTCCCCCTCCTTTTCCCTGCATATTTGTTGTTGTATCTGAATATTGTACGCTTTCATCGGCTGTCGCACCACCCTGAACCACTGAAATGCAACATTTGATAGCTTTACTATACTTGCAAAGATGATCAAAGGCGGATCCAGGAATTCGGCAACGCCGGAAATCCTCCATTTAAACCATAGAGTACATAGAGTCGTAATGTAAATGGGAGAGCTGGCGCCATGTTCTGCTCGACGAGTTCCGAGCCCGGTGTGCGCCGAGTTCGGGTCACTTTTTCGATACAAGTTCGATCCAAAATGGCGGTGCGGAATACGTGGTGATCCCTATCTTCTTTGTTTACATCGGATGGCCGGGTACCCGTGTATCGCAAACAATCGATTATGTATCGAAAAAGTGACCCGGCGTCACACAGGAGTCTCGGAATTCGGGACCTGGAAAATGCTTAAAAATGGGCGCCAGCTCACCCACTTACATTACGACTCTATGTACTCTATGATTTAAACCTATGCTAAATAATCGATTCTTGTCAGAGTACTTGACCCCTCCAAGAATCGATACATTTCCATCGGTTTCAATGGAGGAAATCCGGCGTTGCCAAGTTGCTGGATCCGCCAATGTAGATAATTAGAGCTCTCTCTGCCAACCGAAGCAGAATGTCTGAATTCAACTGCACGATATACACACGCCGTGCATTTTTGGTCCAAAGAGTGCTCATGCTTATTCTAAGTTATTTAAATCATATAAGAGATCGTGGGAAGGAAGACAAGCTGATCGAAAGAGGTCATACGGTCACCGCCCGTCAAAAACGAGAGGATCGGAGCGTAAAGATTGATGGACGATTTCGCTCGGTCGTGAAGAATGATGTTTACATGATCGTGAATCAACATCCGCATCCTGCAACAGTGTTTGGCAATGAGATCCATTCTAATAAGAGGATTTTTGGGAAAGTTCGAGTATAACGTGACGCGTTCAGGAAGGGGGAGATAAGGGGGTTTAAAGGGGTTACAAGGGAGGTGGAGGCTGAAAACTCGCGTTACGTAAGGAACCATTCAATAAATTGAGATATTTGGATTACATTTTGCAAATAGGAACCAAGAGCATTCCAATGTTGCTAGGCTTGTGCAACTGCGCATATTACATTCTTTGCGGAAAAATTACGACAATCATGGAAAAAATTAAATTTACAAAGGTGATTAAGAAAAAAGTTGTGCTTTTAAAAAAGAAAAGTTGCCTTGAATAGTTCACTATCGCACGAAGCACGGATCGGTGGCCAAAGTGTAACCACGTATCTCTGTTTGCGACGTTGCAGACTTCCTGTCATACTTTATTTTCCTGGAAATCTAGTTAGGGTAGTCTCTTGAAAACTTCCTTGATTTTTCCTCTCGGTTAGCAGGGTATATTTCTGTATAGATTTCAAAATGTAAAGTTGGTTTGTTTCTCATCGAAAATATAAAACAGAAGCGGTCGTTTTGAAACACTGTAATGAAGATGCGTAGTTTCGAAGTTTAGCCATCGAACATTAACTTCGACAGACCACCGCTTAGCTTTAAGATATGACAACATTATACTCGCTCCTCGTTTATTAACAAACATTTTTGTTCTTGAAGGAGAGATTCACAATCAGTCAAAACTTTTCTCATGATTTTGTTACAGACGACTGTTTGCCTCGACGTTTAACATGAGTTCCTTTGCATTAGGACACTTTTTCATGAGACTTCTAGCGCTACCACTCTTGTTTTCTATTCTTTGGTGCTTCTATCACAAATCACAGGTATAGTAGATTCTTCCTTTGGCATTATGGGTTTGGGGTCGCAAATGTGAAAATAACGCGGGTACATGTTGTCGACTCCGTTGCTAGCTACGAAAACGAGGCGATCCAGACGCTTAAAATTTCATTAGTGATGTAAATTAGATTTGAAAATTCGACCGAATGGTCTTGGGAGTATTAAGAAAGTGTTCAGAATTGTATAAACCGACAATCGATATTTACCGTCGCTAATATCTAAGACCTAATTCTCTGTTTACGGGGCGGTTTATTAAGTACTAAGAGATAAAGAGCAGAGGGGGGACTGCATGACACCATTGACACCCCTTTGAAAAGGAGAATTCGAGGGGGAGACAGGGCCGGATTTACGTACTTGCCGCCCATGGGCCGCCTGTATTTTGCTGTCCCCTTTTCATTCGTTTTGAAACATCAATAAAATCCATCAAGTAAATGTGCCGGAGGGGGAGGGGTGCATAAGACGCGTTTACTTGTGTTGATTTTTTGCGAAAGCCCTGTCAACACCACTAGCAAAAGTTCACGGAACTTAGCGGGAAAGTTAAGTTCCGTAAACCTATCTCTGTGTGGACAAGACCTTCCATTTGTAAAAGATGAACGAAAAAAGTATGAAAGAACAAACATACGTGGTTTAATCATTTTAACTTCCGCTGCCGCCGCGCACCGCGCTGTGTTTTACGCAATGCGTGAAGTATTCACGCAGTCTTGTAGGCGCTTTGCGTTTCACGCTGACAGCTGCTTAGTGCTGACCGCACTGTATTTAACGCAATGCGTGAAGTATTCATGCAGTCTTGCAGGCGCTACTACGCGTTTCATACCGACCGTCGCGCTGAGGACTTCCCCTTTTTATCTCAAGTCCTCGTCATCATTGCTCTCTGCGCCGCACCGTTCCAGGCCAAATTGCGTGTTTGGTTTCTCTTTTAACTCGACTAAGTAAAGGTGATGTCTCTTGTATCACCGAAAATTACACAAAATTAGAAATTACTGTGCACTCAGGAAATGAGAGATTTTGTCGCCATTTCTCGTTTGTAATTTTTTTCTGAATCTAATTTTTTTTATACCTAAATTTAAAAAAGTTGCCAAATTTGCCGCCTCCTAATTTTGCCGCCATGGGCCACGGCCCATGTGACCACCCCCTGAATCCGGCCTTGGAAAGTAGGATCTGACACGAGAAAGAGGAGTCTTCTTAAAATTTTGATGCGGAAATACGCATGCTAAATTGATTTCACTTTACCCCCTAGATATAAGAAGTCTATTCTTTGACAGAAAATTTGGATTCATGCGACGAACGCATTCGATAATCTCTTAATTTACATACTTGTTTCTGCGAGACAATGATTGAAAAATAATGTTGAGACAAAATTACGTCATTATTTATTGTACTTAACAATCTCTGTTGCAGAATTATCATTGGACATTCATGACGAAGAGTGGTCTTGTTTTCAACTGTATTTTCATCACCTATTTGCTCTCTATATTGACGACAGCCAGCACGTGTAAGTACTTGAAACGTCTGGAAGAAAATTCTTGATATAAAACTATTAAATCTTCGCATCTTCGTGCTCTACTTATAATCAGAGGAGGGTTTTTGCTCAACAAAACCATGTTAGATTTCTATGGAATTGTGTAACCAAGGTATTGTCAATATTATAGACAGTTAAAAATTGTGAAGGTACAAAAACTTGAAGAAATGCAACTTCTGTTGTCAAAATTATGATTCAGCCAAATTTTCTTGTTAAATGGACCGTTTATTTATGTAAAGGCCCAAGTGCCAAAAGTTCTTGAGCCTTGACTTTCAAATCCTATCAGGATTTTCGAGGCTCATGCTTTTTTGGGGCTTATGGTACTTTTTGTAAATCAACGATTTTTCTTTCAATACCCCTCGGCTCATAGAAACTTCGATCATCAAAACCGATTTGGTTAATTAATAGATTCCTAGAAAAAAAGCCACAACCGCAACCACGTTTTAAATTCTGTCGAAACATCGCGAAAAGTTTATATTGAACATCCGCATTGGCGGATCCAGCAAATTTGGCAACACCGGATTCCCTCCGTTTAAACCTATGGAAATGTATCGATTCTTGGAGGGGCCAAGTGCTCCGACAAGAATCGATTATTTAACAAAGGATTGAATGGACAGAATTTGGTGTTGCCAAATTGCTGGATCCGCCTCTGAATATCCGAGTAGGTTACATCGATGGCCAAAGTGCGAAACCACGTGTCTCCATTGCGGCGTTACAAAATTTCTCCTTCTATTTTTACTTTTTCGAAGAGAAACAAGCCAACTTTGAAGCTTAATTATAATTTTCTACACAGAGAGAAGAAAAATCAAGAGAGTTTTCAAGAAATTACGTTGACTAATTTTTCGGAGAAAACAGATAGTAAGACAGGAAAACTGAAACGTCGCAAAACGGAGTTCCGTGGTTTCCCCCTTTAACCATAGATTTTATTTGAGTTGCTTGGGGGCAAGTTTGATCAGGCCGACTTAACTTTACTTTGCTTTCAGTTACTGTCTTTCGGACAAGGTACTACCAAGAGGCACAAGAAGGACTTTACAGTGGACCTTTGTTCCTTATCAGTCATATGCTCTACTCCTTGCCACTTTCACTCATATCTCTTGCGGGAGCTACCTACATCATTTTTCCGTGAGTTTAAATTTGCACGAGTTTTTTTTCTTGAGCGTAGCAGGAATCGATATTAACGAGTCAAGACTAGAGCAGTATTTGGATAATGTTGGAAGCTGGCTCAGGGGTGCAAAAAGTGCCATCTCGCTGAAAGTTTCAAGCGATCAGAGAGTTTTTCCTCACTCGCTTCAAACAATTTCATCATTTCCCGAAGTTTTCCAAGTGATGTTCTTTCCCCCCCCCCTTTTTTTTTAATGCTCTTCATTTTGAAAATTTTCTCGAAACGTCTCCGGAAAAGTAGAAAAGATCAATAAATCGTCGGAGATTTTTTCGGTGTCGTTATGGACAAAAATGTCCTCACTTTCCCAAGAATTTTCTCACTGATCACGCGATACGCGGATCGTATGATCGGGGTAGATTTTGCACCCCTGCGCTGGCTTCGCGGTTTGCCGAGAATTTTTTAATATGGAATCATGCAGAAGATTTTTATTTACTTCAGAGGGCGCAAAGGAAATTCCAGGAAAAATAAAGATAATTGTTTTGTCTTTCGCATGTAAGAAAGCGAATGATATCAAAATTTATGATCCCTCAATCTTGGGATTGTGGCCTCTTAAAAACTTTGGAATCGCTGCGTCTCGAAAGACAGCAATATCTCCTTCGCCGTTCCTTAAATTTTGTAAACAACAGTCTAACTCTCGCATGAAAAGATTCAGCTGTAGCTTGTAGCCGCTGTGTGTGTGTGCTTATTGTGATAAATATAGTCTTCGAAAAATTGGTCGCAATGTTAAATGCTCACAGTTTTTTTTATGAAAGGCCAGCCATCGATTTGTTTACCCTTTTTTTATAGCTTATTACTCGAGCTATTCAATATTAGAGACAGAAAAGAAAAAAACAAGTCCTAGATCGGGACCTCGCAAAAACATGCTATAATTGATCCTCACCGAGAATATTATTGAATACCGTAATTAATAAAGCTGTAATTTGTGATTATTATAAAATTAATTTCAAATCATTTTACGTTCGGCATGAAATTGGCCGCTCACTTTTTTCACTTTGTCTTTGTTTTCATAGGGTTACGGGTTTACACGAGCCTGACTTGATGTGTTTATTTGGAGCAATATTGTGGGGATGCTATTTATTTGCCGAGCAGCAAACTATTGCTCTTTTGATGGTTGTAAAGAGTTCGTTTGTGGCCACAGTGTCGAGTGCGTATATTATGGTGATCTGTCTCATCATAGGTTCTGGGATACTCAGGTAATTTTTTTATGTCCAGATTCATTTCCGATTTTATGATATTTTGATACTCAAAGTTTAATTAACGACAAAGCGAAGATGGTCAAGTGCATAGTGGAAAACAATTGAAAGAAAGGAAAAAAGAGGAAAAGTCCTCCTTCACAGTGAACACTGAACAGTAATCTAGTATCTTATCGTTTTCTTTTGGTGTCGTTTTTTGTAACGCAAAATACGGGAAACCCCATTAATTGCAGTCATAATGATAATAACCCAAAATCCGATTTGAATCGTGATTTGAAAATGGATACGAACTCACTGCATGTGGAAAATAAAGAAATTATAATTTATTGTTGTTAGAGCTCATCCTTACGTTTAGGGTAATCTAAGAAAAAGGAAAAACATGAAATTGAAAAACAGAACTTTGAAAAAAAGGGTTACAAGTTTAGTGCCCTGACTTAACAATAAATTCCTTCGCGACTAATGTCAAATCTCTTTGACTTTTCCAAAATTTTTCCTGCTTATCTACCAGCAGAAAAAAATCCTGACTTGTGCAAAAGTTCAGGATCGACAATAAATTGTTCTCGACTTAAAATTTTTGACAGAAGAAATTGGGGGCTAGTTAAGCTCAAAAGGGGCAGTGCGTAAATTATAAAACGCTTTAAAGGGAAAGGGGCTCGATCAAGAGAGCGTTACTCTGTTTTATTTTACCGTGTGAAAGTATAAGGACCTACATCACAAAAGAGTTACAATAAGGGAAGGAGAGAGTCGATAAAGTGCGTTTCGTAATTATTGCGGATGTTAAACTAATTTTAACTAATGTTTTCGTCAGGGCCGGATTAAGGGGGTGGCCACATAGGCCGCGGCCGATGGCGGCAAATTTTGTATTTTTTTTAAATGTAGGTATAAAAAAAGTCGGATTCAGAAAAAAAATTATCAATGAGAAAAGAGGAAAAAATCTCTCTTTCCTGAGAGTATAGTAATTTCTAATTTAATCGTTTTTCGCGCGGTGATAAAAGAGACAGCATCTTTAATTAGTAGAGTTAGGAGAGGAACTAAACACGCAATTTGGCCTGGAGCTCAGCGCAGAGAGGATGAGGATTGATGACGAGGACTTGAGATGAAAAGGACAAGCCCTCGGCACGGCAGTTGACATGTAACACATATTAGCGCCTATAAGACTCCATGAATACTTCACGCATTGCGTCAAACGGAGTGCGGTCAGCGCGGCGCGCAGTGGCGGAAGTTAAAATGATTAAAACCACATATGTTTGTTCTTTCATACTTTCCTCGTTCATTTCATACAAATCGAAGGCCTTGTCCACACAGAGATAGGTTTACGGAACTTAACTTTCCCGCTAAGTTGCGTGAACTTTTGCTAGTAGTGTCGACAGGGCTTTCGCAAAAAATGTGTCCAACACAAGTAAACGCGTTAAATACAAACGCGAGTTAAATACATCCAAATCATTGGCGGATCCGGCAAATTGGCAACATTGTTTTTTCTCCATTTAAACCTATGGAGATGCATCGATTCTCAGAGGGACCAGGTGCTCCGCCGAGAATCGATCGTTTAGCATAGCTTTAAATGGAGAACATCCGGTGTTGCCAAATTGCTGGACCCGCCTCCTGATCCAAATATGACTCGGTTCCTCTCTATTTTATCAAGTCCATTTCAAAACATTGTTTCAGGTCTTACAGAGGTTTGTCGGAGTGGCTTCTGTATCTCAGCTACGGAACTCAAGTGCGCTACGCGAGTCCGTACTTAAACCGACAAATATTCGGTGACGGGCACTTGAGTATCCTGAACCCGATCGGAAATTGCTCAACCTCTGAGAGTTTCAACGAGAAATTCGTGTGCCATTTTCAAGACGGAGACTCGTATCTGGCCGAGAGGTTCAGCCACGAGAGCGGAATCGTGTCCAAGTCGGATTTCCTCGATCTCGAGATGAACCTCATCATAACCTACATCTTCCCCCTGACATTGGCTGTGCTCAATTGTTTGCTGTACTTGATTCCACTTCCGGCGTTTGTTAAGGCTAAATTCCGCGAATAATCATGAACTTAAAGTCATAACCTGGGTGGCATGAAACGTAAGAAAGAAATGAAAGATTGGAAATTTCATGAGGCTGTGAAATATTTCAAATTTTTCAGGGGTTAGAGTATGCAACCCGCACTCAAACAAACAAAAATAGAAGAAAGTCACAATTTTTACATTTTCCGAAACATGAAAAGGAACCGTTATTTTTCAATACTTTTCATAAATTTCTGAAATTTCAAGAGTTTATTTTTCATGAAATTTTGCTACACTGGAACGGCTAAAAGCCGGCTCTATACTGCGGGGCACTGGGGGTGGCAAAATTTCATGAGCTTAAATTGCAAAACTGTACGTGAAATATTTCCGAAAAAATTCCGAGGTTTCAGAAGTAAACACAAGAGAAAAAATGGTAGACTGAATGATAGAAGAAAAAAAATTGTGTACTTTCTTCGGAAAATACTCGAAAGAGGAATTTACCCTCTCACGATTTGATGTTTATGGACGTGGTTTGCGTACCCTGAAATGAAATGTTTTAGAAATAACTATTTAAAGTCCTAAGTTTCACGAAATATTCCGCGGAAGTGTCCAATCTTTCATCCGTCTCTCTCGTCATGTGCCATCCTGGCTGCACTCTCTTTTTCTTTTCTAAGGGATAGTCAGGCCAGATTGACTTACAATTATTGAAGTACTTTGCATAGCAATGTGACTTCAGTTTGATTTTCGGCGGGCACTTTGGCTTTATACTAGTCATGTTGAAAAAAGTCTCATATTTTTTTAAGTCGGATTGATATTAGACTAGCTTACCATCGATTTTCATCTCATGGAACTGTCTATTGTCAGTCTGACTCATTTTTATCAGGGTTACTCCTTCAAAGAGAATGGGGAAAGGAGAGGAAGAAACACAATAGGACAGCCAAATAAGCTGAAAGTTGGTTGGTAAAATCCTCTCGCAAAAGAGTAGCATCACATTTTGAACGGCTAAACATGGAGAGTAGGAGGAGGAAAAATAAACAAATGGTTATAGAGAAACCAACCGACTCTTCCAGCTTCTTCCTTTCCCTTGACTCCACTTTCAAAAACGAATGTTATACTTGCGCGCCGTCCTCTATATATACATACTTATTTATTTTTTTACAGTTATTTTGTTAATTTTAGTGAAATGATCAAATAAATATTTTATTTCTAAAGATCCATTCGAGAATGACTTTTTCTTCCTTAAAGTAAGTACCTTTCAAATGAACTCTGTAACTTTGGAGCAATGGAATCATACGTAACTGAATAGACCAATCGTTTTCAATTCGTGGAAATTACAATTTGTGGTATTCAACGAGAAATATTCTCTAAAATATTAACTTGTACCTGCAAGTTTCGTTTTCCTGTGCGAAAAAGAAGAGAGAATACCGGCAATATTAGAATACGGCGATCGAGATACTTTTCTTACTTGTTTCACGTTTAATTACTCGCTGATGGACGAAACCAATGCAGTTGAAAGAATCTCGTATTCTATATAAAAACGTGATTATGCTAACAGCGGGCGTGCACCTCCTTGAGTAGCACGGGTTGCAATGAATAGGACTCAACTTCAATTAGGTAAGAAATTATCGCTGCTGCATTGCAGTGTTGTGTATGCTGCCTATCTGCAAATTGAAGGAGCTCCTCTAATTGTAATATCTATTACAGTAGTCTGTAGTCTCACCTCTCACGATCAGATCAGCAGTAAAATTCAGATAAGTTGCAAGTTTTCTTTAAAGTCCACACTTCGCTTACTTTCAATATTCATTTCATTTTTAGGGTACCTAATAAAAAATTGCAATTTCATTGCATTAAATTGCAACTTTATTTTAAAACTTTCGTTGTACTGTGCTACTTATGGGGTCAAAGAGTTTAACTGATAAAATTGAATGTTGAAACCTGGCTTTTGAGTGCAGCATATTACATGTTATTGGCATACTTGTAATATTCATTGTCTAAAACTAGATTCTATGACATTCGTGCGCAACTGCCTCCTGATGAACTTGTGAAGTTTTTTGAAATTAGGCATGAAAGTATGAAACAACAACGGCTCGTTAGGATCAGATGCTCGCCTATTACATTGGCTCCAAAAGAAAAGCGCACAAATAAGAAAACATCAAATTTTTGTTAGATAGAGAATTTGCGATGTACTCGAGCGCACGCAAAATTTTGACTGGTAGGAGCATTAAACTCGTAGGTATTTTTTACCTCGACCGAGCCAATTTGCGGCAATAAAGAGCAAAAACATCTGATTGTCTATTTTCTCGGAGGCGGAGGAGATGGGCCGGACCGTAAGAAAGGAAAAAAGGGAACTTAATAGTACAATGGACACGTTACAGGAAATTTCTTAACGTTATCAAAACATTTTTATCAGAACAATCACCAATTACGACAAGAAATGAACGTCTCACGGTCTACATCCGCACCCCAGTAGCGGAATTGACTTTTTTGAGGTGCGAGAGTTAATGTGCCTACTCAATTTTTGGAAACATACAGTGATTAATAGTTCAATGTTTTTTAATTAATTGTTATACCCATATCTCGGCGAACTGCTCGAAAAAAATCTTGCAGGTTAAATCGAGTTGTGACTACCTCACACTGAGAAGATTTTACCCAGGAAGTCGAAAAATTGACACGTGTGCAGTTCAAGGTTCAAGGACAAAAACCGGTCGTCCTGAGAAAAAATGCTTATTTAATGGTTTGTCTTTCGGCCTCTCGCATTATTACGTTGTTAGAAAATCTGTTTGTTGCCATTTTGAAACTAGGCCACGAACCGATGTGTAGTTGAATGATTTTTTTTAAATTTTACAATTAGCCGTGGAACTTCCAAAAACCTCACAGAAACAATCTTCGCGAGCGACCACGATTTTCACAAACTATTCCGGCTGCTTGTTAATAAGACGTCCGTAACAGTGAAAAATAAAGGTCATGCGATTTACTCTAGGCGGCTTAAGTGTTCATTTAGCCGGTTACCAAGTATGCATAGCGGTGTTTTTGTGGAATTTCGTTCCGAACACCAAAGGAAGCACGACATCTCACCATGAAAATCATTCACAACCACAACATGAAGCGACTACGAGTAGGGAACACGGTTCACATGAGTCGCATACTCCTACAATTTCACCTCATGCGACCACGCCTAATAACACAAGAATTGAGCTGACCCTTCCTCCACCGATATCCCCTCTGGAGATAAAACAAAAGCTCGAGGATATGCTCATTGTACCTGATGTTGTACACACCGCACCAGAACAAAAAATTGATGTAAGTGTAATTATTCACGTAATGGAGAATTTGCACGAAAAAATTGTATTGCTATATCTGAGAGGGCTTCATGAGTTGCTTTCCCAGTATTTTTCAAAATTACTTTCTGATATGGGAAATTGTAGAAAAATAGCTTTAAAAAGGAGACAATGTACCTACCGCTTATGACGTAATCTGGCGGAATTTCCCATTTAAGCATATGCTTTCAACAAGATTTGGGTATTTCGTCATTTCTCCGCCAGAAATTGTTCAATTTAAAAACCAAGGATATTCTTGTGCTCAGTTCTCTTAGTAATTTCATCTTAAAAATGAAATTCACCAAATTTCAGACACTCGCAAATTCACTATTCCATCCACCATTCTCGCTTTGAAGAGACGATAAGAGGGATAGAAAGGAGGATTTTACATACTTATTCATTAGATGGTGGGTATTGAGCAGGTAACATAATAATAAATTGTAAACCAAGATTTTCACAATTTCTTAATTTTCCAATTCCCTGACCTTCGCTGACTCCAAAATTCCCGAATCTTATGAATCTCCCTGACTTCCGAAGAAAACTTCCATTCAAATTTCTTTTTCTCTTAATAAATTACGCTTTTTGCTACACTATGGATGAAACCACTTCATAAGAATCAAACTATGGAAAAACGCATTCGGAGGTTGTTTCGTGCTCTCTTAGGTAAACATTACCGCAAGACCAATCCACACAGGTCAGTCATTCCCGAGGACGAGTTTTGGTACTCTACTGCGCAGTGACGTAGTATTGAGCGCCAGCAATGTATTTCTTATGGGAGCACCCATTGTGACGTAGCGTTGAGTGCTGCGAGTTAGGGCCGGGCGGGGGAGCGGATTTCAAAAAAGCTGCGCAATGACTGACCTGTGTGGATTGGTCTTGCATTACCGGCTGAAGTTGCTGATCCAACACAATACTCGCGGAATTCCCTGACTTCTCCAGGTCACCGTATATTTCCTGGCTTTACAGGTTTTTCGGCCACCGAAAACCCTCCAATCCTTTCACTTGTTTTAGAGGATCGTAAAAGCAAACCCTGGTAAAAATTGGCAGTAGAATGTGTGTTCCAAAATACTGTAGACCTAAAGCCGGCTGTAAGATTTCTAATAGCTTCTGTAGCCGGCTGTACAATTTCTCATAGCCTTTTATAGCCGATGGCGATTAAGCAACAGCCAGATGATAAAGTTTATGCTAAACGTTACTAACAATAAGTAATTGGATACTAGGACTTAGTTAGTTTTTGGACTACCGCTCTCTTTTTGTGCCGTAGTATCTTGATTTATTTTGCGAGGAAAGCTCCGTACTTTTGAAGGATGCTTGTCATTCTTAATATGTTGGAGCGCCTTCAATTTCGTATGATACTGTGCAATACCTTTGGTGAGAAATAGTTGCTTCAAGCGCCGTGGTACGCTGCGGCGCGGCGCGGCCGCGGCGGGCGGGCAGCCAGCGCGGAACGCGCATTAGCGCCTACAAACCTAACAGGGATACTTCACGCATTGCGCAATGCGTGAAGTATCCCTGTTAGGTTTGTAGGCGCCAGTGCGCCGCCGCTCCGCTTTGTGTTAGGCTCTAATATTTAATCTCGCGGAGTCAGCGTTTTTCTACTCATGATTTTGAAATGTTTGCTCACTCTGTATGGACTATTCGTAGCAGTGAGTTTAGAGACACGGTTTCTTCCGTAATATATCTCATTAGATCCATACATGTACAAAAAAAGTACGCGCATAAGTCTAGTTAAACAATTTTTTAAATTTCTTCACCAACAACGTGAGAATACGTGAATAATTTTGCAGGTCTGGTTTGGTACTTACTTTGCGGAGATGGGAAATGTTGTTCATGAGGATGTGGTTTCAAAACAACCGGTTTTACTTTTATGGAAATGGAACCCTGGGGACTTTTTCACACTCATAGTTACAGGTCAGTTAAAACCAAGTCTATAACCTGAAGTCAATAATTGAGGGACCCAACGCATGAACCTGTTAAGGGGTGATTTCATGATAACAGGTATGGTGTAGTGTCTCCAAGGTAGTTTGAGCGTTCTTTAAGACTTCGAACGACTCAACAAAACAAGAAGACAATAATTCTTAGGCATTTTAAAGTTGTGACCCTGCACTGGTCTAGGCTACGCTTTCGTTACTCATCTCTCATCTTCTTAATTTAATTTAATACTCAAAGCTCCCTATTTTCGTGCAACGACGATCGTATGAATGCAATGGAGGTCACATTTCGTTATGACGAGCAGAAAATATTGAAGGCGCTCCGGCTATTTCAGTAGCTACATCTGGATGCAACTATTCGTGATCGCTGGATGTCCGTGTTGCGATTGTTGCATACACAAAAAATTGCAGGCACTCTAGTTTGCTGAGTCACAATTTATGGCCGCGGCCGTTAGTTCTCGAAGATATTCTTCGTTGCTTTTACAATCGTGTTTACCATGAAATCCTCTGAGTTTGCATGAGGTGTGTTGCATCACGGCAGCGTTGCCAAAAGGTGGAAATGTCCATCAAAAACATTTCCATCTAGGCATCGTGGATGTAAATCCCGCTTTTCTACTCAAAACAAATACCACAAAGGCATCGTGGATGCCAATCTTACAGATTACCACAGACAACATTATCTGCAATTTGCACCATTTGGCATACGACTCAATACGACTCATCCGAATTTCGAGGATTTGATGGTGAACACTGTGTCGTAAATGCGTTGTAGACGACCCTCGGAACTAACAACGGTCGCAGCCACGGGTTGTGCTTAAGAAAACCGAAGCGCCTGTAATTTCGTGTGTATGCAACGCGGACATCCAGGGAACACGAATAATTGCATTCAGACCTAGCCATCAAAAAGGCCGGAGCACCTGTGAAGCTCGCTTTAAATTTCGGTGGATATTTTGGAAAGAGTAGAAACATTTACAGAAATTTGAAGAAGAACGATTGGTTGTGTAGTTTTCTATTAAAATGATATGAGATTAGAGGAGATTCGCAACGGTGGAAACAAAGATACGAACATCCTTCTCATTTCTTGTCTGGATTTTTTCCCCCTAGTTAGTTTTTCCCCTCTTGAAATTTGATTGATGAATTCTTTTCTCAAGTAGATACTACATTTCAGGCCCCGACGTGCCAAACAGTGAACTACCAACTGATGCTGAATGGAGGCATTGGATAGTGATGAATATTCCAGGAAATGATGTCCTCAAAGGTTACACCCTTAGGGATTATGTTGGTTTTGGAAACGAGACGGAATTAGGTGAGTAACTTTGATGGAAATGCTACCTATCAGATTTCATTTTAGAAAGTCATGCCCTACAAACCGAAGCCCTCATTTTGTAACCCAAACATTTTTTGAAGACACAGAATTGGAAACTAAGCCTGGGTTAACAGGGATGGCTCTGTAAATCAATTATAAAACTGAAACTGCTCTGAAGCCATTTCTGAAAGAAAACTGGATGGAAGCCTGACTAGCATTACCTGCATAATTCATGAAAGGAGGTCTAATGTTGTATTAATGTAGAAAAGGGCCTAAAAGGACAAGTTTACGGTGAGACTTAATGCACACTTTGTAGGCACCTACTTATATGCATTAAAGAAAAGCGCAGTAGTAATGTAAAATGATTATTTTTATCTTTTTTCAGGAATTCATAGGATGGTTTTCCTGGTATTCAAACAGCCGCGGCCATACATGAGGTCCCCTGAGGCAATACTGAGGACCAGCGACAGGTAAGCTCATGTCTCATGGAAAAATCCAACTCTATCATAGAATGGTCTAAAAATAAAATATTTAAAAATTTTGATTGAGTCACATCACAGTCACTCAGTTTTAAATAATCACTGATTTTTTGGCTATATTATATAAATTTCAGGAGTCTTAACTCCCACATTAATATATACAGTTAAAGAAATCAGCAATCATTTTGCTATGCTAAAGGGTAATTCTTGGCTTTGAGGACTTACCGCAGGGCCTTTGTCTGAGTATTTTTAAAATTGATTGGGATGATGATCAAGATAGATATTCACAAAACTTTATCAATAAATTCCGAGGAATGTCTGCTTTAAATGAGCAACAACTTGATTCAAATCAGGTTTTGCAAATTTTTGTAACTTTGTTTCAGTGCGTATCGAGGATTTTTTTCGACTCGAAATTTTGTGCGCATGCACAATTTGGGCATACCTGTTGCAGCCAATTTTATCTTAGTAAATTGCACCAACATTATACATGACCCTGTTGCCTGGGCCGGCATGACATCACATCCGACAACACATCCTACAACATCTGAGAGTACGAAGCTCAAGACTGAAGGGGTGACGACATAAGGATATGAGTGGACTGTGCATGCAGAGGAAGTGACGACAGAAATAAAACCAAAATAGAGAGAAGTTAAATGGCTCAAAAAATCAGCCCTTGAGGGTAGTTATGATACCCACGACCTCATCTCTAGTATTAAGCAACAGGAATAACTAAAAACGCTGGTAGAATGTGGAGCGAAGGAAAAATAGACTCATACTCATAACTTCACCTAATCAAATGATCAACTTTCTAATGAAAGAAAAATAAATCATTTCATAGAAACAAGCTACAAAAGCAAGTAATTTTTGGCAAAATTAACCTGTCCGCCCTGCGTTTAAAACTATTTGGGGATCACTGAAAATCTAGAAAAGTTCCTTCTTCAAAAAAGAAAAAAAAAAGAAGAAGAAAAAAAGGCTCGAAAGAAAAATCATGGTTTTTCTCATATGCTCGTGCTTGAAATTGAAAGACTTCAGATTGATAGAGATAGGTTTTTTCTGATTTGTAGTACATACAGACCATCGACATAAAATCAAGAAAAACAAGACCTTGAATTCAATCCATTGACAGTCTTTTTCATCTGATTATAAAACGTCAATACATTTTAATGTTTTTTTAGGAAGAACTAAATGATAGAGAGTCAGGCTAAAGAGCTATAAAAAATTATTGAGGTGTTAAAATATCATGTAACAATGTGTCAGAATCCAGCTAATTACCTCTATAGCTCTTTCTTTTAGTGCCTCAAGTTAGTTTCCTTGATTCTAAAAACAATTGACTTTCAACTTACTTCTTCTTCTTTTAAAAAATGTTACTACCCTCTGTGCTTATAATGATACAGTTCTTCTCAGCAGTTAGTGAGGATCAGATAGTACAACAAAAATGTTTTGTTTTTTCTTAAAAACAACAAATTGTTGTGTTTATTTACCGCCTTTCGGTTTCAAAGTGTAAGGTCACATTAAAAAATGTACAATTAAATAAGCTTTTAATCAGTCATTTGGAACATTAAGAAGACCTCGACCAAAGGACCTTTGAGACATAAAACTAACCAGACGGAGGGAATCGAAATCTTAAATAACTATTTACATATTAAGTCCACACTAGAAAAGCAAATTTTAACTTTAAAAAAAAATCCAAGAATGAGGTAAAAAGATATGACTAGCATTTGCTCATTTACTCCATTGATTCAACTTGAAATCTGAATTTTAGACTACATAATTTTTCTCAACAGGAACTAAAAAGTATATGGGAGTAGAAAACTTGAAGCTTATTCATTATTAATGACAGCAGCAAAATACAGAGGGAACTTTGTTACACACGGATTGAAACGGAGAGGTCTGAATCACCAACATCATTCAAGAGTAAACGACACACAAAAAACTGAATTGAATTCAGAATGACAGGTTTTTGCTGGAAATAAATCATGTAATGATTGGAGGCCTGGTTCAAAACATTGAACGTTGGTCGAACTTTTGCCAAACTTGTTTAGAAATCCAGATTTACATACATATATACATAAGAGCCACTTTCACAGGGGTCTCTAGCACTCAGCAATACCTGACTGCCATAGTTCTCTGTAATTCCTCAGCCCTTCAGGGAGTTGACGCTCCCTCATTTCTTATAAGACCCCTTGTCATAATCCTTTTATTGGGCATCCCCTTTGGTCCCTTCCAGGAGGAGCCTAATCAAATATTTTGGCAGCCTTTCTTCTGCTATACGGTTAACGTGTCCATACCAGATTATGATGATCATGATGTTGAATACATAATTTTTTACTCCCATGGCATGATCAGACACACTCTATCATTACAAACTTCATCCCTTCCAGAAGTTCCTATTGACCTCCTCCAGATATCCATTCATATATCAACGGTGTAAGTCGGCAATCACATAACTCGGTTTGCGACTTCGCAAACTTCCTGTCATATTTTATTTTTTAAATGGAAAACTAGTCAACAGCAATTCCTTAAAACTGCAGTGATTTTCCTTCTTTGTGCCAAGAAAATTCTGCATAAACTTCAAGGAATGATGTCAATTCGTTCTCCTTCAAAAAAATAACAGAGGCAGAGATTATCAGACACCGCATACGAGTTATGTGATTGCCGACTTGCACCATCGATATCCTTAAGAAACCAGATTTGACTCAGCTAAAACCAGTTCAAAGAAACCCATTTTGATGAACCAAGTTTAATGACAAAAAGTTGGACCATCTGGAACGGGCCATAGATGGATGATATCATGGTAATTCTGATGAAGGCAAAGAAACTGACAAAAATATTAGGTCCTTTTGTAGAAGTGTACAAGACGTAATATACACTTATAATACATGTAAATACAAATATAAACAATAAATAACTCACAAATGGCCATCATTAATTTCTAGCAAATTTCTATGATCCTTTTTCCTTTTTACTAAACCATGGACGCATGCTCTTCATTGACAACAAAACAGGTATCATGATTGGTAAGAACAGCGGAATGTAAACAGCATATCTGAGAAAAAGAAATGAAAATCATATGAGAAATGATGAAAACAGAGGTAATCTTTTATTAGAACTAATATATCTATGACAAAAAAATAAACCAGAAAATGGCTGTATGTTCAATTGGGAGTTCGCAGGGGTACAGACGCCAATTTTTATCATAGAATACAGGATTCAAAGTGATGCTAATAATAATTTTTTAACAAAAATTATACATTTTAATGATGAGAAGCCTTTAAATTTGAAGATATGTAAAACTCTTATTGCATGCAAAGAGATCAATTTTAACAGTACAAATTAGAAAAATTAAGATTTAAACTAAAGATTTCTTGCTCATCAGATGTGAAGGGGGACAAAACGGCATGTTTATGATTGTTTAATTATTTAAAATGAGAAGTATTCATATGTACACAGTTTCAACTCTTTTACCTTATAAATACAGGAGATTTCCTCAGAAAGGACTGTTCGATCGAGGAATAGAAATAGAGAGAGTTCAAATTTGAAAATAACCTATTGACTTACAACTATAATACTTTGAGAAGAGGCAAGACTTACTTCTGATCATCTGGGAAATAGAGAAGTGCCAGTAAGGATGGATGAGTAAAAGCATACTCTGCTTTGTTAAATGCAATCTTGCTGAATTTTAAAGCTTCACTTGCATTGCTTAATTGCAAATTATTTATAACTTTTTCAGCAGCGTCCACCGATTCACAAACAGCTTGGCTAACTTCTTCCGTTATTACTATGTTTGAAATTCTGTTCAACAAGCGTGCTAGAGACTGGGGAGAATAAATACGAGAAATTAATGTGGGATACACTAACTCATTGGACAAAAAAAAAACGTTGATATTCACAAATAAAAAATTACCTCATTTGTAGGTCAGTTAAATAATTAGGTTAAAAAATCAATGATACAGGTGGTGACGAGATTATACATCAATGACAGATGTTTATACATTCTGATTTTGTATTCGAGTTTCTTATATTCAATATTTTCATGCTGTAGTGAGAAAGGAAGTATCCTAGAAGATGCAATTTCTCAGTTAAACTTAAAACCAGAACCTATCATTATTAATTTTATCTGAATTCTGGTTGAGAATTCTATAAAACAAATAAAATGAATCAGGCGCTAAGATGCAAGTAATTTCCAATTGTTTATGAATTTTTTTTTCCATCTGTTAAAAACATTATGAAAATCATGAATTTGTCACGCACGATATTTTAGTCACTCTTCGACCACCTGGCAAATACTTTGATACAAGACTGACAAGAAAATTATAGTAGAATCTTACATTTAAAGTGAGCCTGGCAGCAGCAAATTGCTCAAGGGAACGGAGTCTGATTAAGTAATCCAATTCCCATAGATTTAGCCGAGCATCCATAGAATTCAGAATGAGAGCGTTTTTGGACTGCAACAAACAACATATAAAATAAAATGTGAGGGCCCTTAAACACATTTGCAGTAAATACCTTTCGACAAAATTACTTTAACACTGACACTGACTAAAAAGAGCATAGAATGGTAAATCAGTAGATGCTACTCCAATTCATGCAGAGATTCATAAATTAAAATGTAAAATTCATGTGTGGAGTGTTATTAATTTACACTACAGCAAAAAAAGAAAGTAGCAAAAAGTAAAAAAAGTAGCAAAATGGGTAAATCTGAAATTTGCTACACTTTTACTTACAAAATTTTGAAGGCCAAGTAGCATTCGAAGCAACAATAGGGCATCCGACATTACTTGATTGTCATTTGGCACATATGGTTCCGTTGAATTACAATTGCCAACGTTGCCTTTATCCTGTAAGAGCTGTATTCCGCCCCATCGAGCAGACAGCATAGCAGCTCCAATGGAGCCATCTGGTGACTCAAAGTATAACTGGTTGGATTGACATGGAGTGGCGTACAGTACAAAATGAATACAAGGATGTTTCGCGACACCTGAACCTAGAAAAATTCAACATAAAAGAATAATGTGAATGCTGTTTTTCATTCAAATGGGAATGTAACCTTAATAATTCCAAACAGCTGAAAGCAGCAAAATTTGGTATACGTTATACTAAATTTTGTGATGATTAAATAGTCCGTTAAAAAAGTTGGAGCTTTTATCAGGTGTGGATAAGCAGGTTCTATTAGCATACAAAATTGAGGGAGTTTCGTTACCTCTGACTAAGCATCACTCAGATAATTTGGTTTCAACTTAAAGTCAACTTATTTCACTAAAGTTAATAAAAACGTAACTCTGGTAGAAAACTACCGAAAATTTCATAATCAAAATATCCATTGACTCGTTTTTCATTTAGGAAGCTCTACACATGATTAACAACTGAGAAAAATACGGGTATTTCTTAAATTTAATAATAAGATCTCATTAAAAATTGAATTAACAATACAGAATTCATGATAAATTATACCTAATTTTTTCTCGAGTGGTGAGATCAAGTGAGGAAGATGTTTGTCTGACAAGACATGGGAGGGTCCTGGATCATTCCTGTTCTTTTTTGCAATTTGCTCAAGGTCAATAAAATGCAACCATTGAGATTTCAGGTTGAAATGAGCGATTGCTGACATCTGTTCCAGCAATGGAGAGATAAATTCTAAGAAATAGAAAAAAACGGAAAAGATATTATTGAAAACAATCTATCAGGAGTAAAAAGTATACATGATGAATGTTGATCCGGGTCAGTAAATGTTTGTACTTACAAATATGTTTATAAATGGATATTAAACAATTCAAGATAACTTATAACAAGACTGATTTAAAAAGTCAAAATCAGAAAAAAAATAAGTGCTTTTTCAGAGGGCAACAAGTTGCATGAATCTTTGAGACAGAGGTTGAATCATAATTGTCAGTGCTTTTCAAAAGCTATAGGAATAGAAAAGTTGCCTCAATAGATGGATCACATTTTGCAATATGCAACTACCATTTCCGGCTCATTATAGAAACAAAACAGGTGCTATTCATTCCCCTATGCAGATAGGAGCTTTTAGGAACGAATGAAAAAAAATAGTTCCTCATCACAAAACAGAGTTCAAAGAACAATCTTGAAGTTTTTTTATCCATATTTGAAAGTAATTATAGAAAATGTTTAACAGAAATTAGCAATGAGTGATAGATTGAAAAAAAAAAAAAAAAAAAAAAAAAAAAAAAACTTTATCAAAGGTTCCTGTGATGAGTTCATTCGAATGAATTGACTTACGTGTCAACGTGCGTCTAATATTCCAGGTTCTTGCGACTGAATTTGGTTGTGAGCTAACGACAGAGAAAATTACATCATAATTTGTAGAGGTGCGAACTCTGTTTTTACTTGTTAAGCTCTTTGAAATGAAGCCCGGTTCAATCATAGCTTTCATTGAATCATACATTTCAGCTTCTTGCAATATAACATCCTTGAAAACCGCATGTAACTGTTCAATAGCTGTGGAAAAACGAAACAAAATTACTTATACAATTTTCCTCATTCAGCAGCTTAGTAGATAATGAAACCAATAATTTATACAAAGGTGAAAGGAAGGAAAGTGAGCTTTTTTTGGGACAGTGTTGTGTACAAAATCAAAGAAAGGTTGGGGTATTCAATGTGATACGCATTAAATATTTTTATATCTCTTTTATCCCTGTCGTCTGCTTTGAATGGTGAAATTTAGTCAAAATGGGTTAGAAAACTGCATATTACTTCTTCACAGAGTGAGAGAGTATAAAGAAAGAAGGTACATAGTAAAAATGTAACTTACAAGCAGAGGGCTTAAAATAAATTGTCCGATGGGCTCCCAAAGCAACTGCATGGGCAGTTTGCGGCAGATTGGAGGTTTCCAAGAGGAGGTATGAATTCACGTCATTTGAGTGAATTTTTTCCATGCTTTCGAGGGATGAGACATCTAGCCTGTCAATGTCATTCACATTGAGAGAAACTGGTTTTAAATTAACCTTAAATAATTCTGAAAAATTAAAGCCAAAATATAATTATATACAAATAGAACACAATATTGATGAAGCAACTGCTGAAGCAGTAAGAATGAGCTTTCAAAAGTTCATTTCTGACAGAGGTAAAGAATCATATTTTTTTTTAAATGAGACCAAATATTCTAAATGGTTCTTTAAAGTACAGAAGAAAGATTAACATTTGGCTCAGAAATGCCATAAGGCTGGCGTGGGCAATATATATAATTTTTCAAGCATTTTAAATTTTCATATTTTCACTGGCAATTTTCTCAGAGGTATTTTAATGTCTTATTGTGTAGCTGGTAATGTAAACTCATTTCTACCCGCCATTATGATTCTTGCTAAACTGAAGATTTTTTGTTGAAAGATTGATGATTATTAAATGACAATTGAAATTGTTACTTGGATTCCACAAAAAAGAAAAAAAAAAAAAAAAAAAAAAAAAAAAAAAAAAAAAAAAAAAAAAAAGGAGAAATGCAAATCAAGTGATTACCAGATGTGTTGAGAAGGTTGCTCAAACCATTAATTATGTTTTGTGTTCTAACTGGATCTTGGGAGTGGACTGAAACATTGATAATGATGCTAAGACTAATGTCATTAAGCGCAACAATGCGAGCATTAGGAAGAGGATGGCGTTTGACTTCCGTCATCTTCCACCAAAGAGGAACGCCCATGACTAAGAGCACAAACGCAAAGGCAATAGCAGCACCCATTCTCAGGTTTCCTGAAATAAGAGAGATGTCACTTTAATTATAGACATTAATTTACAAAATTTAAGGACTCATGATTAATTTTTTTGAAAAAAATAGGGTCAAGATGAAATTGCCAATGCAATATTATGCCTAATTAGGTACCTATTAGCCAATCTGAAATTTAGTAGGTCTCTCTGGGGGGGAGGGGGGGGGAAAGACCATGCATGAGGAGCACTCTTGATTGATGAGCAATTTTCCAATGGGGAGCATCGCAGGGGAATCACAACGAGTCTCATGGTAGTTAAAATGATCAATGAAAATACGATTAATTGCCACTTCATGCCTTAGATTCATCATTGATGTTTTCCACCCATGTTTTAATGTTACTTTTCAAATGTGTAACATGAACTTCATACAAGGCTTAAACTTAAAATGTAAAGTCTATTAGCACATATGCTTCCTTATTCTTCCTTATTTTTCGTATGCAGCCCTCCACACAAGCAGCATTGCTTACTGGAGGGTCTTGCCAGTTTAAGTGTGATTATTTTTGTAATTTTCTTTTTGTAAAAATAAATAAATACTTAAAATAAAAATGATGCTGAATTCTCAAGTAGCATTTTTAAACCCACAGAATCTAATTTTTGAAGAAGTTTTGATGAATCATGATTTGAATACCAAGCTGTCGACCTGTCTTAGAGGCCTCGGTCATTCTTAGTGGTCAAAACTTTCAACACTCTGCGTGTTGCAAATACAGTTTCACAAAAGTTTACAAGCTTCAATTAGGTGCTTATTATACTTACTACTGGTGCTGTCCTCATCCAGTTGCTCCTTAGACTTTGATGGTTTTGATTCCATGATGAGAGATATTTATTGTTGGCTATCAATGTCGGTCACTTATAATTAGACTTTAAGAGATACATTCATTACGTCAGTCTAGAGCAAAAAAAAAAAAAAAAAAAAATGATTTCGATTGGAGAAAACAAACTGTCAGAGAAATAGATGGACCGCGTTAAACAGAAAGGAACCAAGCCACATCAGCTATTGCCAAATTTAATCGGGCACTTTAATTTTTTACATGAAATCGGTTGTGCAGATTTTTGTGCAAATTTCTATGAATTTTCTCCATAATACGAAGGAAATTCCTCAACATTTTCAAAGGAATCCGCACATACGCTCTCTCGTAAATAATCAAATTCCCCTGTTAAATTTGGCAACAGCTGATGTGGCTTGGTTCCTTTCTGTTTAACGCGGTCCAGATATGAGAGCTGTTCAAGTACCTTATATTATTTTGATATTTGAAGGTCTGTTGGGAATTTCCAGCCCCTACCAAGGACCGTTATCCTCTCTACTTTACTTGCCAATTGTATGGCATTATTTGAGACACTCCAAAAATGTAACGGAGGAAAGAAGCGGAGAAAAGAAAGATTGATTACTCGCAAATCAAATGATGATGATATGAAGATATAATCTCAAAATTTTCATTACCAACTGAAATTTTTGTTGTCATAACGCTTCAGAGGGACCACATTAACATTACTTTGAATTGTGTTGTTTTGCTGATCATCGCAACATAATAAAAAAACTTGTGGAGCTTGTGAAATTGGGTTATAAACTGTGTTCAAAGAGCGATCCAGTTTTGAGAGAGAAACATGAGTAAAGCTGTAAAAGAGGGTGAAAAACTAAAAAAGACACTCCCAAGTTTGAGTCAAAGTTTAAGGTGTATCTACAGCTGCGTGAAGTAAGAAATTTCTCCGCGCAGGGGGCGCCACCGCTGTGTTTTAGAGTCCGTACCGCACCGGGTGCCACACACGGGCATAGAGAAAAAAAAGGAGGTGTTTGCATTTCGGGCATCTTGGAATTTTTCATAGAGTATCTATAGCTTTGATGACGTCATTGGGTACAGCGACGTTTTTATCCTGTCGATTTTTTTGGAAATGGTGTAATTTAAGGGAAAAAGTCATTCTATAAAAAGTGCTTGAAATTAAATAAAGAGTTGATTTAAGTAAAAAAATCGGACATTATGGTCCGTTTTTACAGCGTCAACATAACTCTCAACGAGCGTCTTGTTTACATTGATGACGTAGGTGGGTACAAATCCTCAAGATGCAAACACCTCCTTTTTTTTCTCTATGACACACGGGAGGGATGAGGCGCCCAAAAGTGAGGCTCTGCTGCGCGCGCACGTCGCATGTTTAGTGGGTGACATGAGGTGGGTACAAATCCTCAAGATGCAAACACCTCCTTTTTTTTCTCTATGACACACGGGAGGGATGAGGCGCCCAAAAGTGAGGCTCTGCTGCGCGCGCACGTCGCATGTTTGGATTGTAATTTCGCGGCAGATTCGAACCTAAGGGGCGAGTTCCATAATACATTCTTCTCAAATGCACAGTATTAAAGTAAAAAAAGTCCAGAGTTTTAATCACGATTACTTTAATTAAATTTAACCTCTCGTAAATCCATACGTAAAAAGGGTTTCCTTCTCCGTAAATTTTAACAGTTTTATAGTGAGTT